AATAAATAATTAAAGTTAAATAATTATAAAAAAAAAACCGTGGGGGTGAAGGGGACCAGCAGATGGCATAATGGTTATGTCACTGAACTCCCACATAGTCAACCGTGGTTCAAGTCCCAGACCTAGTGGCTTAAAACCCACACAGGGTGTGCGTGTTGCGTGCGTGTTCCAAATCCCAGTATGGCCATCTGCCCTGGAGGGCGATTCTTGCTTTCTGTCTCTCCAGCAAGTACACATGCCCTATACCAAAAATCGCTCTCAAAAAAATAAAGGGGGGGGGCATGGGAGACCAGCAGATGGCATGGTAGTTAAGGTGCTGGATTCCCACATAGCCCACCATGGTTTGAGTCCCAGGCAGGCAGCTTGCTTTCTCACTTTTTCTGTCTTTCTCTCTGGTGAGTGCATGTGTCCTATAGCAAATTTAAAAAATATTAATTTGGGACCAGCAGTTAGCGTATTGGCTATGTCGCTGGACTCCCATGTAGTCAACTGTGGTTTGCGTCCCAGACCCGGTAGCTTTAAGTTCACGCCAGGCGCATGTGCGTGCGTGCCCAAGATCCCGAGAGGAGAATGGAGGAGAAGGGATTGTGGCGTGGCCATCCCCCATGGGGGGTGATTTCTCGCTTTCTGTCTCTCTGTCTCTCTTTGTCTGGCGAGCGCATGCGCCCTATAGTGAAAACCTCTCAAAAAAAAATTGATTAAAAAAATTAAATCAATAATTCTGAAAAAGAAGGAAAAAACCCACAAAAGTGCTCAACAAACATTTTCTCATAAGTTTTTTTCTTTTAATTTTCATAAAACTAACTTTAAAGGCCTGAAAATAACCAACTCATGGTAACTTTTAGCTAAACAATTTATTATGTTTCTTAGAATAAAATATGCTGGGAGTCAGCAGATAGCAAGGTGGTTAAGGCACTGGACTCCCACATGGCTCACATGGTTAGAGTCTTAGACCCAGTGGCTTGAACATCATGCCAGGTGTGTGTGCATGCATGCCCAAAATCCTGAGAGGGAAATGGAGAAGGGATTGTAGCATGGCCATTCACCCAGGGGTTGATTTCTCACTTTCCCTCTGTCTGTCTCTGCTCTGGTGAGCACACGTACCCTATGGCAAAAACCTTAAAAAAAAAAAAAAAAAAGGAAAAGAAAATATGCTTATAGGAATCAAACACATTTTAGAACAATATTTAAGAAAGTGGAAAATCATGAAAGTATATTGTTGGGTTTTCAAAAAACTGGTTACTACATACATATGTTCTCATTTTTGTATAAACATGTAAGTACATATAAACAAATTACTTAATGTACTAAAACATTAACTGTGGTTCTCTTTAGGTGGAAAGATTACAGGTAATTTGGGGGGGAGTTTTTGTTTTTGTTTTTTAGCATTTAAAATTTTCCATAATTGGTTCAGCCATGGTAGTATATGCTGGTTGATGCTGCTACTTGGTTGGCATGGAAAGTCAATTCCTGGCCCACCCTCATTTTCAGTTCCATTTAGGCATTTTTTTTGGGGGGGGGAGGTTTTTGCTATAGGGCATATGCATTTGCCAGAAAGACAGAGACAGACAGAGAGACAGAAAGCGAGAAATCACCCCCCACAGGGGGATGGCCATGCCACAATCCCTTCTCCTCCATTCTCCTCTCAGGATCTTGAGCACACATGCACATGTACCCAGTGTGAGTTTAAGCCACCGGGGACTGGAACCACAGACGACTACATGGGAGTCCAGTGATATAGCCATTATGCCAACTGTATTTGTACGAGGCCAGCAGGTGGCGTGGTGGTTAAGGCATGGTGGTTAAGGTGGTGTGCTAGACTCCCACATGGCCAACCGTAGTTCGAGTCCTGGACCTGGCGGCTTGCTTTCTCACTCCTCCCCCCCCCTCTCTCTGCCCCTCTCTGGTCAAATTGGAATACATAAATAAGTAAAGTTAAATAAAACAAATCTTTTTTAAAAGAATGTATTTATAGACAGTCTTTTGGGGGGCCCATCCATTAAAAACACAGTAAATATGAGGCAGTATAATGGAAAGGCCTTGTTCCAACATGCCCAAAGCTGGCATTCAAGGCAGCTACATAGTGGGCTTCAATATCCAATCTTATTCTCATTATCAACTTGAATATTAATTTAACTAATCAGTGGTTCATTTGAGATGTCTATGCTTGCCACACACAATCCAAGCAGCTGCAGTCACTGGGTAAAAGGCACAGTCTCTGTGGAAACATCAATATGCAAAGAAGGGCAAGACCTAAAATCCTTCTGTTAACTCTCCACCCAGCTGTTAAGTGCATTTGTGAAATTAGAGCTGACCTATAAGTGCACTGTAATGCTTTGAAACGTAGTGTTTAAAAAATCAATATGGCTAGGAAAGGGTACTAATTAGGCAACATCCGAGCAATTACAAAGTCAGTATTATGTCAACATACATTTTTATTACCCGGAGTCTAGTATGCACCTAAGACAGACCTCCCAACTTCCTATTAAATATGTCCTTCCCAAGTTACCAGCTAAAATCAATCAATAGCTTCTCCTTGAATTCTGTGGTTAAGGAAATGAATAAAAGGTAATAGGGGTAAATTCAGAAATAAGAAATAGTATCAGGTTCTCTAAAATAAAAACTGAATTTGATATAGCTGTAGACATTATGTAAGGAACAGATGGGACAATCCCCTCTCGCATCTCATGAGAAGCCAAAGTAGTTACTCAAAGTAGGTGAAGCAGAAGAAATTTTACTACTATATACCCTGAAATAATCTTCAAACAAACTGGTATAGCAGTGGATGTCCAGGAAATAAAGTAAACAAATACTGAGCAAGTATAAAAAATGACTCTGCTCCTTTTAAACAAAGGCTTGAATACAACAGTAACTAAGTGAGTCACAAATAAAATGCATTAAGTAGTTGTGGTTTCCATTAACCAAGAATCTAAAATTAACATGCACATAGGGAAAAAGGTGGCTGTTCTCAGCGAGATACTTCTAGCTACGTAGACTTGACATGAAGATGGCCATCTTCAAGGGGGCTGGCAAGTAGCATGGTGGTTAAAGGCACTGGACTCCCACATGGCCGACAATGGTTCGAGTCCCAGACCTGGTGGCTTGTTTTCTCACTTTCCTGCTCTCTCTCTGTCCCTCTCTGGTCAAATTAAAATGAAATAAAATAATATAAATAAAATAATTTTTAAAAATAGATACCCATCTTCAAGATGGACAGCAAAGAAGGTATCCAGATGTGTGAAACTGGTAGTGAGTTTAAGTTTCCTACATTCTGATTCTAGAGTATATACATCAAAAAATAAACTCTACATTAAGTATAAGTTAGCAGGATTCTTAAAGATCCTTGTACTGGAAAGAAAATGTTTTATAGCATTCTTGTAGTTAAATATTAAAAATGTACTTAGCCATTAATAAAACCTTTCTTGGGACCAGCAGGTAGTATGGTGGTTAAGGTACTGGACTCCCACAGGGCTAACTGCAGTTCGAGAGCCAGACTTGGAGGCTTGCTTTCTCACTTTCACTCTCTCTCTGTCTCTGGTAAGTATATGTGCTCTATAGCAAATTAAATAATAATAAAAAATAAATATAATTAAATAAATTTTTAAAAACTCTTGATTTTCTTTTCTCCTTCCAAAGCTACTTCAATATATTCCTATGCAACATTGTGAACAATGTACTTTTCATATATTCAAACATATATGATACTGTTTAGTGGTTTAAAAAGAAATAAAAGGCAAAATACAAAAAATAAAAAAATCTGGTGCAGCCCAATAGGGTTAAGCACTGTGCACTGGGAGCCAGATCCCATGTGGCCAACCACGGTTCGAATCCTGACCCAGTGGCTTGAAAAACACACCAGGTATGTGTGTGTGCATGCTCAAAATCCTCACAAAAAAAGAGAAATAGAGGAAGAAGGATTGCTGCATGACCATGCCCATAGTGGAGTGCTTTCTCTGTCTCACTCACTCATTCTTTCTGGCAAATACACATTTCCTCTAGCAATTAAAAAAGAAAGAAAGGAAAAAAAAAGAAAAGAAAAGCAAAATCCAAAGGAAACAGTCACAATCTCACTGTAAAGCAGATTTGTAGGTAGATTCTGATCTAATTTATCCTAGGAAGTGACAATAAAAGTGTAGTCTTCCTTTTAGAAACAGCAGCAAAAAGTTCACATATGTGAAACATATGCTGAGATTTATAACATCTTAGGTATTTGTTATGTTTCTAAACAACAGTCATTGGTACATCTCTACTTGGATATCCGAAACACCAAACAGCCCCAACCTAAACTCATCACCTCCTAAATCCCAAAGGGAGTGTTTTCTATCACACATGTTCAGTAGAAATTTGGATGTTCTCCTTGACTTGCTGTTCTTCACCTCCTAAAGCCAATCAAGTCATGACAATGCTTTCCTTTATCCCTACTGCCACTATTTCAGTTCAGACTATCATTTTTACTCACCAAATACTTCTCTTACAAGTGTGGTCAATGGGGCCAGCAGGTGGCATGGTGATTAAGGTGCTAGACTCTCACATGGTAGACCACGGTTCAATCCTAGGTGTGGTGGCTTGAAAATCATGCCAGGTATATGTGTGCATATGCCCAAAATCCTGAGAAGAGAATGGAGGAGAAAGGACTGTGACATGGCCATATCCCCAGTGGGGGTGATTTCTCACTTTGCCTCTCTCTCTCTCTCCAGTGAGCGTAGGGACACTATGGCAAAAACCTAAAAAAGTGTGGTCAAATATCACATTTATTGTTTCATTTTTTAAAGAATTATTTAATTTTATTTGCCCCATCATGATCACATTTTAATACATTGATCATTTAAAAAAAAAGTAGTGATATAATAAATACTGATGTTGATCTTGAAGGAATCTTGAAAGTGTCTGTGTTTACGTATAATCTAGGTGGCCAGAAACTAAAACCCATAAAACCTTACACAACGAAAGCTAAAGACGGGGAGTATATAACCACATGACAAATACACAGATTGATTTACCGGAATGCTTGATTCAAAATTTGATAATGAAAATGTTCTGGTGCCAATCCTATGACCACAGCATTGGGATCACTTGTTTGTATTCCTGAGAATGAAAAAAAAAAAAAAAAGAATTACTGAAAGTTGCAGTAAGAAGCAATGTAATATTCTATAATGAAAGTAGTTTTGATTAATGAAGTGTAATTTTTTGTTCACTCTAAAGTTTAAGGGATTTCCTGCCCAGTATACCTTGGAAGTGGAGGAGGAAGGGAAGGATGATAGGAGGGAAGTATCCTAGTATTTTTCCATATCACCTGTGCAAGGTCTTAACAGCTTAGTAACTAGAAGATCTGATTGAAAATTGTAACTCGATGCTCTCAAATGAGTAACAATTTCTAACTTCAAAATGCCTTACTGATTACAATCAACAAGAGCATCCATGAGTTCCCCATGAGCTATCAGATCAATAGCAACTGATGAGGGACTGAGAATCTAAGAGGCAAAGGAAATTAGACTTTCTAATTGACACAGTTGAGGTTAACTCACTCATGATAAATATGGAATGCACAGTAGATCCTAAGGTTTTCTACAATCTACTTTTATTTTTACAAATATTATTCTTTATTGCCAGAGGGTCAAAGGGCTTGCCAGAGAGCAAGTGAGCCCCTCACCCACTGAGGTGTGATCACATTACAATCTCTTTTCCTCCATTTCTTCATCCCTGTCAGGATTCTGGGTATGTGCATGTGCACAAGCACCTACACACCCCCCAACATGTTTTTTAAGCCACTGGGACTGGGACTTGACCACAGTTGGCTGTGTGGGCTCTGGCTCCCTATGCATAGTGCTTTCTGTTGTGCTATTGGGCCAGCCCTCACAAATTTTTTTGCTCCCAAGATTCCATGCACTGGGTCAATGTGCTTGCCAGAGACAGAGAGAGAGAGAAAGAGAGAAAGAGAAAGTAAGAAAGTACCCTCCCATGGAGAACAGTCACACACCACAATCCTTTCTCCTCCATTTCTCCCTCCTTTCAGGGTTTTAGGAACTCATGCATGTGTGTCTGGCATGTTTTTCAAGCTGCCAAGTCTGGGACTCAAACTGTGCAGCTATTTGAAATCCAGTCACCTTCACCACCACACCACTGACTGGCCCTTCAGTGTGTTTTGAAGCCTCAGTATTTGGTAACAATTACACAAGTACATTCACCACCAGTTATTAACCTTCAACGTCTGTCTGTAAGTTCTGTGGATTAGGGCTAGTTGTGGTGGCGGGGACAGTGGGGGTGTCATATGTGAGGCTGGAGACCATCTGGAAGAGCTTCGGGTTTGCTTCCAGGGTCTGCCTAGGCATGCCCATGGGTGTGCTCATGGTCCTGAGGTGCAGAGGTTCAGGGTGTGAAGGCCCTGTCAGGGGTTACTGTGTTTGTATGTCTGTCTCACTCTCTCATAGACATAAAACTATTGAAAAACTAGAAAGTTTAAAAATATTTCATTACAGAAAACCCCACGTTCTATGCATTATCCATATGTCAATCACTATTTGCCTCTTACTGCCTGCAGATAAACAGCCTTTCTGATTTTCTCCTTCCTAGTAGCCATGAATATTGAATAACTGTTTAAGGTTTGTTGAAGGAAGAAAATTAAATTGTTGGTTACAGTAAGAGTTGACTTTTTGAGTGTTAATTCTTTTTATTATCTTCATGTACCATCAGCAAGGATATTCAATAGTAGCAAATACATTTCTGTCCCTTTCAGAAATCCAATTACCTTGGTATTGTCATGAATATAAAGATGTCTTAAGTCTAATCCAGACTTAGACTGAATGAAAAGAGTTCTTCAGACTAGGAACTCTGCTTATAGATTCCCAAGTCCAGCTCACTGCTGAAATGACTAAAATCTTAGTATTTCTCAAATACAGTCAAAAGAGAAAATTTTCATTAGAAAATTGTTTTGTAGTCCTTCAACTTACTCAGAAACATAAGTATACTCACACAAAGATGCATGTCATTCTTTTTGGTTACCCAGTTTCTGATACTTTCACAATTAGAGAACTCAATAACTCATAAGGCAGCTCAACCTCTCATCACAGAGGCTCAAAATACCAGACAGTGACACCAGCAGATGGTGTAATGGTTAAGTTGCTGGACACCCATGTAGTGACCACAGTTTGAGTCCTGGACCTTATGACTTAAAACTCATACTCAGAGCATGTGCATGTTTGCCCGAGATCCTGAGAAGAGACTGAAGAAGAGACTGGGGCACAGCCATCCTCCCAGGGTGTGATTTCTTGCTTTCTGTCTCTGTCTCTGTCTCTCCGACAAGCACATGTGCCATATAGCAAAAATCTCTCTTAAAAAAAAAAATAAAAGCCAGATATTTTTCCAGCCTCCCTTACAGCTAAGACTGTGCTTTGTCAATCAGAAATACCCTGTCCTGGGCTTATGAATTAAGAACTAGTAACAGAAAGCAGTAGGGAGGACCTCCTCTAGAGATGTGACTACTGGTTTCATCCAGTTCTACAACAGCAGTCTTTCAGTAGTTTTCCTGCTAACACAATGAGCTATCCTGGACTCATCTTGTACAATGCCTGCCCAGTTCTGGAATTTGTCATTTCTCCAAGAAATAACAGTGGGAAACAGCAGCAGACACAATAGTCTGAGCACCGGGTAGTCACGGCTTCTAAACCTTTTCAGTGGAAGATCTAGATAATATGTATTTTTAAAAAGAAAAATGAAATTGATGTGATAATGATTTTTTGTTTGTTTCTATTTTTTTGGAGAGGTTTTTGCTATAGGGCACATGCGCTCGCCAGAAAGACAGAGAGAGAGAGACAGAAAGCAAGAAATCAGCCCCCAGGGGATATGGCAACGCCGCAATCCCTTCTCCTCCATTCTCCTCTAGGGATCTTGGGGACGCAC